TTCACGATCAACAAAATTCCCAGCTGCGCCTGAATCTACTAGCGCCTTATGCTGGGAATGAGGTGCCACCTGTGGAAATCTCACAGGTATACACAGGTGACCAACAGAGAGCTCTGGGTAAGTGGGGCGCCTACTCACCTGAAATGACTCCCCAGTGCGTGACCTGTTGTCCCCTCTCCCAGGAGACCTTCCCCAGCACCTAGCCGCAGTGTGCCCTCCACGGCCACAGTTGGTGCAGGGGACGGCCCCCCTCGGGTTCTCTCTCCTCCTCTCCCTAGCGCCAGCACCCCCGAGCTCCATGGGAATCGGCTCGGAGGTGCTGGAGGATGGAATGGACGACCCCCATTCGGGACGTCCGCGGGTAGCCAGCAGGGTGTCGAGACGGATGGAAATGTCCACCAACTGGTCGAAGGATAGGTTGGTGTCCCTGCAGGCCAGCTCACGACGAACGTCCTCTCGTAGGCTGCATCGATAGTGATCGATGAGGGCCCTCTCATTCCACCCCGCATCCGCCGCTAGAGTCCGGAACTCCAGGGCGAACTCCTGTGCACTCCTCTTCCCCTGTCGGAGGTGGAACAGACGCTCCCCCGCCGCCTTCTCCTCAGGTGGATGATTGAACACTGCCCTGAAGCGGCGGGAGAACTCCACGTAGGTGATGGTGGCGGCATCTATTCCCCTCCATTCGGCGTTGGCCCACTCCAACGCCTTGCCGGAGAGACAGGAGATGAGGGTGGAGACGCTCTCGTATCCCGAGGGCGCCGGGTGTATGGTGGCCAGGTAGAGTTCCACCTGCAGGAGGAACCCCTGACACCCGGCTGCCGTACCATCATATGCCCTCGGGAGCGAGAGCTGAATGCCACTGGGTTCCGGTGCTGGGAGAGGAGGACTGGCCGATGGTGATGGTAAGGTGTGCGAAGGTGTGGGCACCTCTCCGGTGACCAAACGGCGCAGAGTGTTGGACACCTCGTTCATGGCGGCCCCAAGTTGCCTGATCATGGTGTCTTGATCGCTGATCCGTTCCTCCAGCGACTTGGGTGCCGCCGCTGCTCCTGCTGACTCCATAGCGGGTGTGTTATTCTGTCAGTGTTGATGTGGATGCGGTTGAGGAGTCAGACGCAGGACGCATAGGCTGAGCCAAACAAGACTTTACTAACTGTATAAACAATACAAAATAAAGGACCTCAAAACAAGGAGGCGAGCGACAACGCAACACAGTGCGTCACAATAAACAAAGTCCAGAGTACTGCACAGGTGACACCAACGGACAGGCGGAAAATAACACACAAACTAACGAAAACAACATAGGAAACTTATACGGCACATAATCAGACCCAAACGGACACAGGTGTAACAGACAGACCCAACCAAACGAACATCGAAACATTCAACGGTGGCAGCTAGTACTCCGAGGACGACGAACGCCGAAGCCTGCCCGAGCAAGGAGGAGGAGCAGTCTCAGCAGAATTTGTGACATCATCTTACATTTTTCACTTAACATTTATTTTACACTTGTGAGTGAGTCACTATCACTAGCAGCGATAATTAGATCATCGACCCAAATTATCAAAATGATCCTTTCTGTTGCAGTTTGTTTGTTATAAACACAGTGATCAGATGGGTTCTGTGTAAAACCATTTTCACTAAGGTGATCATGCAACATTTTGTTCCAGTTCCTTCCTGACTGTTTCAGGCCGTACAGTGACTTGTTCAGTTTGCAGACTAGTTGCTCACCTGTATCTGACCTGACTTCAAAACCCTCTGGTTGCTCCATGTACACTTCACAGTCAATAGGAGCATGTAGATATGCTGTTTTGACATCAATCTGATGTAACTCTAAGTCATACTGAGCTGCTAGCTGCATCAAACAACATATTGATGTCATATTTGCAGTTGGAGAAAAAATCTCCTTATAGTCTATTCCTGCCACTTGACTATACCCCTTTGCAACATATCTTGCCTTGTATGTCTCAGTCTCATCTGAATTGTTTTTGACCGCATAGACCCACCTGCCCCCCACTGCATTTTTACCCTCTGGCAGTGTGGTCAATGTGAATGTATCATTTTCCCTAAGAGAATCCATCTCCTCCTTCATAGCAGTAGCCCAAATCTCTGATTTTGGTGAAATCATTGCACATTACTCTGTAGGTTTGTGGTGCATTGCACATTACTCTGTAGCAGTAGTCAACACTAGGTGGTATCTGGTCATCACACTTCACTTTACACTTATAGTCTTTTAAGTACTGAGGTTTCTTCCTCGCTCTGTCTGGATAGCGTGGACTCTGACTATCTGAAGTCTCGATTTGCACATCTTGTGTCTCTTTGGAATTTTGATCTGCCATCTTGGCTTTTGGCATGGGGGATTCAAATCTCTCCCCATGAAGATCATCACTCATTTCCAAATCTGTCTGAGTTTGGCGTTCGACTACACCTTTTGTAACGAACTTGACTAATCTGTTTTTAAGAACTTTCCAGTGTCTGGGTAGTAGACTAGGTATGCTGGACTATTTTTATCATACCCGACAAAAATACCCTTTTCACATCTTGAGTCCAACTTTTTCTTGTTCTGTCTGTATGCATAGCAAACAGATCCAAATTCTTTCATCTTTGAAAGATCAGGCTTTCTCCCAGTAAACATGTAGTGTGTACACGCTTATTGTAACACCTATTGCGAATTACTGCAGCAGTCATTACAGCATATGTTCACAATTTCTTTGGTAGGTTGCTCTCAAGTAGCATGCATCTTGCCATTTCAAACAGTGTTCTCCAATTTCTCTCAGTGGTCCCATTTTGATGGGGTGAGTAAGGGGCTGAAGTTTCATGTCTTATGGCATTCTTACTGAGCAGTGACTGGAACTCTTTGGCTGTGTACTCTGTGCCATTATCTGACCTGACACACTTTATTTTTCCATAAGGGGCCACATCAGCAATAAACTTCTCTGTAGCTTTTACAGTATCACTCTTTGCTTTTAGGAAATACACAAAAACTGCCCCTGAATAATCATCCGTAAATGCTAGAGTATATCTGAACCCATCTTTCGCCTCTGGCTCAATAGGGCCAGCCAAATCAGTGTGCACAAGCTCTAGAGCTGCTTTTGCCTTTTCATCAGGCTCTCTGTTTCTGCTCTGAACAAATTTGCCCTGTGTGCAGATTTCACAGTTGAGGGTAGATTTGTCAATCTTACCTGTGATTTTCATTCCCTCTGTCACATTTCTAACTTTGATACATCCTCAAAATTACAGTGGCCAAGAATTTTGTGCCATGTGTGAATATCATAGCACCCATGACATCCATCATCATTTTCATCACTTACAGTGTTAAGATAGTAAAGTCTATCGTACTCCTCGATGTCAAAAGTGGTACCGTTCTTGTGGATGAGCTTGTTACACCCCTGTCGAAAGTTGACTGAAGCTCCGTTGGCTGTCGCTGCTTTAACAGAGAAAATGTCCTGTGGAAACGATGGCACGTACAGCGCCTTCGTCAGCGTTGTTTTCACCCGACGACCCGTGTTGTCTCTCAGGTAAACCTCCGCTGCACCTCTCCGCGACACCATTCGTTCTTGTTCCGTCAGCCAGCTCCACAGAATGTTTTTCCAGTTTGAAAGTCTCGTTAAACGCCTTAAACTTCCCGATGTCCGTGACTATATGTGACGTTGCTCCCGTATCAACCATCAGCCCTTTTTGTTTCAGTCCACGAACCTGACAGTCACTTATTCTGAATGCAAATGTGTGGCCTTCAGCATCTGTTGCTTGTTTCACATTGTCTCTTCTTTTTCGTCTGCAATTTGCGTCAGTATGAGTGGAGCTCTTGCAAAAACTATACCACTGTCTCCGTTCTCTGTGCTCTCCAGTAACGGTACATTCCCGGGCCTTGTGCCCTTAACTGGCCACAGTTGAAGCAGGTTATCTCGGTCCCTTTATCTCTTCCTCTTGGCCAGCTAACTTTAATGTTACTTGCCTTCATCACGTTGTTGTCAGTGGAAATGTCGCTAAACTTCTCGGTGCTTTCATAGCTCCTCAACTTGGTTTTGAACTTGCCATAAGTTGTCGGCTCGTCACTCTGCGTTATGTGGATGGCAAACGGCTTAAATGATTCGGGCAAACCTTTCAGAATCATTGCAATCAACAGCCCGTCACTTAAAGTCTCTTCAGCATTCCTCAGTGCTGTAATAGCCGTCTCAGCACGAATGATATAATCCGTAACACTTTTGTCAGCGGCTTTCTTTTGAAGAGAAGTTAGCTCAGTGTAGAGGCTAATCACACGTGGCTTCCCTTTACCTGCATAATGTTCCCTCAATATCTTCAACGCTTTTCTCCCATCATCTGCTGCTTCTCTCATTATCAGGGAAAGACTTTTATCATCCAAAACCTGTATCAATTCGGCGTTGGCTTCTTCATTTTTCTCTCCGTCTTCTTCATCTTCATCCACGCTCAATATGGTGGCCTTTAGCCCTAGCAAACGCAAGTGCCCCAAAAACGTTGTCTCCCATAACTCTTAGTTTTTTTCATCTCAGTCGAAACATAATCTATTCCATCGGCTTCCATGTTCCCTCCTGGCCCATAACCTGTTGGTGCTGTCATCTTCAGGACAGGAATACCGGCTTACTTAACGGAGGAATAAACACACATGTTCATCGTTGGTGTTTCAACCAGAACGCGGGAATGCCATTTCTTTTATTTTCGACATGCGCAGTTGTACATCTCTCATAGGGCATGACTGTACCAGTGTAAGAACACAATTGAATAACATATTAGTCTATTTGTTAACAGAAGCTCCTCACGAAAGCGTCAAAGATCTGATCACGAAGCAAAAAATGTACGTTTGTAATTCATTCTTCAATTCACTTGCCATCAAATAGATTTTTCACTGCTGTTTTTTATAGCTAATAGAGAGCATACTGAAGAAAAAGCCTGGTGGAGAGGTTGTCATCAAGGAATATTCCTAAACTAAAAGCCTGACTGGCTGCACCAGACAAAAGATTATCAACATTCATGTTTTGGCGATGACTCACAGGTAAGTTTAAAGGAAAGATTCATAATGAAAATTGTTGAGCATTACTTGCTCCCATATCTGCTGATTGTTAAAAATGACTTGTGTATCAGTATCTGAGTTACATAATTGTGTCACGCTCGTCGTAAGAAGCGGACCAAGGCGCAGCGTGATATGCGTACATCTTTTAATGAGTACTTTAAACAAATAACAAAACAACAAACGATACGTGAAGTCTACAGGTTCACCAACACAAACCTATACAGAACAAGATCCCACAATAAACTAGTGCCAACCGGCTGTCTAAGTATGGTTCCCAATCAGAGACAACGAGAATCAGCTGCCTCTGATTGGGAACCACCCTGGCCAACATAGAAAACACAAACTAGAATAAAACATAGAAAATACAACATAGACACTACACACCCTGGCTCAACATTAAAGAGTCCCCAGAGCCAGGGCGTGACAGTACCCCCCCCCCCAAAGGCGCGGACTGTGACCGCGCCAACCAAACTCAAGAGGGTAAGGGCTGGGTGGGCATTCCGCCTCGGAGGCGGATCCGGCTCCGGGTGTGACCACCACTCTCTCGCTACCCCCCCGTAGCGCCCCTGGTCTGGTCTGACCCCGCTGGCCGGAGCTGGACTGGACACCGGTGGAGCGGATTGCTCAGGCTCCGGTGTGGAGCAGCTGACCGGTGCCTGGAACAGGCACGGGCTGTGCCGGACTGACGACGCGCACCACTTGCTTGGTGCGGGGAGCAGGAACGGGCCGGACCGGGCTGACGACGCGCACCACTGGCTTGGTGCGGGGACCAGGAACGGGCCGGACCGGGCTGACGACGCGCACCACAGGCTTGGTGCGGGGAGCAGGAACAGGCCGGACCGGGCTGGCGAAGCGCACCACTGGCTTGGTGCGGGGAGCAGGAACAGGCCGGACCGGGCTGGCGATGCACACCACTGGCTTGGGGCGGGGAGCAGGAACAGGCCGGACCGGGCTGGCGACGCGCACCACTGGCTTGGTGCGGGGAGCAGGAACAGGCCGGACCGGGCTGGCGACGTGCACCACAGGCTTGGTGCGGGGAGCAGGAACAGGTCGGACTGGGCTGGCGACGTGCACCACAGACTTGGTGCGAGGGACAGGAACAGGCCGGACCGTACTGGGAACACACACCACTGGCCTTGTGCGGGGATCAGGAACGGGCCGGACCGGACTGGTAACACACCCCAGTACCTCTCGCCGTGCCTCTACACTCTCCTTCTCCCTCGTGACCAGTGGCCCCCGTAACCTGGCGGCCTCCTCTGCAAACCTGCCGAACCGCTCTATCGCGGCCTCCCGCTGCCTCGCCGTCCACGGTGTGAGCCCCCCCTAAACATTTTTTGGGCTTGTCTCTCCCCCGTGAACATGGCCTCCATGGCTCTTGCCAGACTCTCACTCTTCTCCTCCCACGTCCATCCTCTCTCCTCGTCACGCTGCTTGATCCAGTCGAGATGGGATCTTCTGTCACGATCGTTGTAAGAAGCGGACCAAGGCGCAGCGTGATATGCGTACATCTTTTAATGAGTACTTTAAACAAATAACAAAACAACAAACGATACGTGAAGTCTACACGTTCACCAACACAAACCTATACAGAACAAGATCCCACAATAAACTAGTGCCAACCGGCTGCCTAAGTATGGTTCCCAATCAGAGACAACGAGAATCAGTTGCCTCTGATTGGGAACCACCCTGGCCAACATAGAAAACACGAACTAGAACGAAACATAGAAAATACAACATAGACACTACACACCCTGGCTCAACATTAAAGAGTCCCCAGAGCCAGGGCGTGACAAATTGGTTAGGCTACTGCTGACCATCCACTGCTAATGGTAGAAGATTTCTCTTCTATCAAATTCGATGGGCATGATACTGCTTCAAAAATCACTCTTGATATTTAGCTGACTGGGGACCAATGCTGCTTGTGGAGATTCTGATTGCCGCCTAAACATAACATTATATTCTTGTCAGGACATCACTACCGCGCAGTGTGAGAGAAACGTTTGCACAAGGCATCGTCTCCTTGTTCCCATACCTGAAGGATCCCTACACCGCAAATGGATATGTAAGTATACATTACAACTGATAAAGGGCATCTGCATTTAATTAATCTGGTATGGTATCTGAGCAAATGGGACTTGGTTATTTGTTTTTTCTTTCGAGAATAGTAACCATGTTCATTTTCTTGAGGAACATTATTTCAACCCTAATAATGGAGAAGGGTACCTCTCGTATAGAATCAAAACCATTCAGAGGAATTTGGCTTCATCTGAGAAACGGCCCACTCAACTATACTCTGGAGGGCCTACTGCTGAGAGGGAGTCCAGTCCATCCACTTTGGTTACCCTGAGTGAAGACCAGTGCAGAGAGGCCATTTCTCTTATGAAGCATTCTTCTGATGAAGAAACAGTCAAACAGAAGATGAAATTGACCTTTGAGTACAGGAAGAAGATGACCCACAACCCGAGTAAATGCTCTACCATCCTAACCGAATTTCTACACTTTCTGGATGTGAAGGGCTTGGTAAGACTTTTTTTAAAGAACAGTTTTAAGTTGTATAAATTGCGTTTAATCTCTAGATGCCAATTCAGGTTGGCCAGTAAATTTAAACAAAAACAACACTTCCATAATAGTAGTTCAATTAATGTGTATGCTGGTGATTTACTCAAACTCTGTTTTGGAGGTTAAAGTGGAATGTTTTGTGAAAAAGAAACTGACTTGCACGAAACTAATGTTTTGTTCTTTGTCTTATTTGTTTCAGATTGAACAGGATTTTGTGCTGCTGTTTGGAGAGGGAACATCAGCCAAGTTTTTGGAGAGGTGGCCAACTACATTCAAGCAAAAGATCATCATGCTAAGCAAGACCCTAAGCAAGGCCACTCAGGGAGCTGAACTTCAGGAGCTGATCCAGATGGCAGAATCTGCAGTTGATGAGGGAGCTGACACAAATGCTGACGGTTAGATTATCATAATTTATCATTTATACACTACCGTTCAAAAGTTTGGGGTCACTTAGAAATGTCCTTGTTTTCGATAGAAAAGCAATTTTTTTGTCCATTAAAATAACATCAAATTTGATCAGAAATACAGTGTAGACATTGTTAATGTTGTAAATGGCTATTGTAGCTGGAAACGGCTGATTTTTTATGGAACATCTACATAGGCGTACAGAGGCCCATTATCAGAAACCATCAGTCCTGTGTTCCAATGGCACGTTGTGTTTGCTAATCCATGTTTATCATTTTAAAAGGCTAATTGATCATTAGAAAACCCTTTTGCAATTATGTTAGCACAGCTGAAAACTGTTGTGCTGATTAAAGAAGCAATAAAACTGGCCTTCTTGAGACTAGTTGAGAATCTGGAGCATCAGCAATTGTGGGTTCGATTACAGGCTAAAAATGTCCAGAAACAAATAACTTTCTTCTGAAACTCGTCAGTCTATTCTTGTTCTGAGAAATGAAGGCTATTGCATGTGAGAAATTGTGAAGAAACTGAAGATCTTGTACAACGCTATATACTACTCCCTTCACAGAACAGCGCAAACTGGCTCTAACCAGAATAGAAAGAGGAGTGGGAGGCCCCAGTGCACAACTGAGCAACAGGACAAATACATTGGAGTGTCTAGTTTGCGAACCAGAGGCCTCACAGGTCCTCAACTGGCAGCTTCATTAAATAGTTCCCGCAAAACACCAGTCTCAACGTCAACAGTGAAGAGGTGTCACGCCCTGGCTCTGGGGACTCTGTTATGTTGAGCCAGGGTGTGTAGAGTCTATGTTTTGTGTTTCTATGTTCAGGATCTAGTTGATGTGTTTCTATGTTGGCCGGGGTGGTTCTCAATCAGAGGCAACGTGAATCAGCTGTTGCTTGTTGTCTCTGATTGGGAACCATACTTAGGTAGTCGTTTGGCATTTGTGTGGTGTGGTATCTTGTTCCGTGTTGGTTTGCATTGTATAACCGAGGACTTTGTTGTTTTTGTTCGTGTGGTGAAATATAAATAAAAGATGTTCGCATTCCACGCTGCGCATTGGCCCGTTTCTTCAAATGACGATCGTGACAAGAGGCGACTCCGGGATGCGGACCTAGGCAGAGTTGTTCTCTGAGGATGACCCAAGAGTGACTTTACGAACAAAACACATGCACTCAGACCATTGTCAAACTAGTCAGTGAAACCCAACACTACCTCATGTGTACGGTGTGAAGCATGCTTGCTTATTGAACTCTCTGCAGTACTTCAATACTACAGACAATTTTTCTGTTGATATAATGCATGACATTTTAGAAGGAGTTGCACAATTTGAGGTAAAACTTGTGTTACAGTATATACAAGCCAACTTTGTGACTGCTAAAGATGTGTACGGTAGAATTAATCCATTTAACTATGGCTACACAGAGAGGAGGATGATGGGAGCAATGATTTGGGTCTAAATGCTATTCAGTCTTGGTGTCTTCTCCGTAATTTGCCATTGATATTTGGTGATCTGGTACAGAAAGTTGATAAATACTGGCAGCTGCTTCTGTTACTACTACAAATTGTAAATATTGTGTTTTCTTCTAAACTAACAGAGGGCATGACTATCTATCTGAAGCACTTAATTGCTGAACATCATTGTAGCGGGTGATTTGGAAGGAGTCAGGCGCAGGAGGTGTAAATCACAGAATAATGGTTAATTCGGCCAATACAGGGGTTTGCAGCAATGCGTAAAACAACTACAGTGCGACTTAACGGCGCACTGGGGAAAAGAAAACACACGGGTGAATATCCCGGCGATAAAGTACATAATGCTCCACCGAGCTATCGTCACCTCCACATGGAAACAATCACACACAAAGACATAGGGGGCACAGGGAATACTTCTACAGGGACTGATGAGGGGATATGAACCAGGTGTGTGTAAAAAAAACAAGACAAAACAAATGGAATGATGAGAAGAGGAGCGGCAGTGGCTAGAAGGCCGGTGACGACGAACGCCGAAGCCTGCCCGAACGAGGAGAGGAGGCAGCTTCGGAGGAAGTCGTGACAATCATAGGCTTTTCAAGTATTTGTTTCCTGATAGAAATCTGTTACCGAAACACCACTTCATGATACATTATCCTCGTTGTATAAGGAATATTGGGCCCATTCTTCACTCGTGGTGTATGCGCTTCGAGGCAAAACAGAATTTCTTTAAAAAACAACTGAAGAGTTTTAAGAATATCACTATGACCTTAGCCAAGAAACACCAAAATTACATTGCATATAATTGGGAAACGTTCAGCCAGGATAGACTAGCTATAGGTCCAGGAAAGATGTCAAGGCTCAATGATCTGAAAGAAGGCCATGAGATTGCTGCCAAGTTGAATGTCTCAGTGCACACAAATATTTTGTCAGTTAAATGGGTAAAGCACCATGGTACAGAATATTGTCTTGATTTGGTTGTATGTGGTGAAGTAGTCATTGAAATGCCAGTATTTTACAAAATTAAGGCTATTGTTCTGAAAGATGAAAATGTGTTTTGGGTTGGGTCAGCTCTTGAAACCTTATGTTTTGGTGATCATTTGCATGCATTTAAAGTTGTTTTGAAGTGAAGTCCACCATGCAAGGTATTTCATGTAAATGACATCATGTACCACAAACCTTTTGATTTGCTCATGTCACATGGAGCAAGGGATTCTTTTGACTACATTGTACTGTCACTTGATAACAGTTTAAGCCAGGGCTGAGACGTATGGTTTGGTCATAATAAACATATTTGAATGTTGAAACAGCTTTGCTTGAGTTTATTGTGAAATTCCAAGTGCTTTTACAAAATATAATTTGGGGGAAGAGTAAATAAATTAACACTGAATAGAGTAAACACATTTTTACTCTAATAGGAGTCACCATAGATCAACACTAGTGAGTGTCATTATTACACTCAAAGTGTTGATTACCTCTTAGTGTTAAATTTGATCAACACCGGCCAGTGTAGTGTAGTGTTAACTTTTTGCACTCTTCAGTGTTAAATCAACACTAGAAATGTAACACTTTGATCAGTGTACTTTCTACTCTGTGTAGAGTGGGACCATAAGTACTCGCTGACAGTGTTAAATTTAACACTTAAAGTTTTGATTTAACACTTTCAAATTTACTGTGTAGACTACTGGACTAATGGAGCTCCAAATGAGACAAAGAATCAGAAACAGAATTAGGTAATGTATTGTTTTCTCATGTACTTACCAACTAAGGTAAAGAATTACAGTGAAATACTAGGTATGAGTGTGTGTTTTGTGTGCTCCCTGTAGTCTAAGCTGTAAGGAAAATGAAGAGAACTCAATATTTTTTATATGCCATTTAGCAGACTGTCAAAGGCGTCAGTGAAATGCGGTGGGCGAAGTCAAACGCAGGACACAGAGCTGATCCGAAAACGTACTTTACTTGAAAGTAAACTGAAAATACACAATCTCCACACAGGGAGGAAATAACCCGCACACTAACGACTGCCGATCATGAATACAATCACACACAACACACAGTGTAAGACAGAGGGTTAAATAGGGAAGACAATACAACATAATGGGAAACAGGTGTACACAATCAAGACAGAACAAGTCGAACACAGAAACATAGATCGGTAGCAGCTAGTACTCCGGTGACGACGAACGCCGAAGCCTGCCCAAGCAAGGAGGAGGGGCAGCCTCGGCTGAATCCGTGACAGTACCCCCCCCCCTTGACGCGCGGCTCCAGCCGTGCACCGACCCCGGCCTCGGGGACGGCCAGGAGGACGCGGAGCAGGGCGAGTCGGATGACTCTGGTGGAAATCCCTCAACATGGAGGGATACTGCAGGCCCCCCACCCGACGCCTCGAATCCAAGATGGAACGGACTGAGTACGCCGGAGCCCCCTCGATGTCCAGTGGGGGCTGAGGAACCTCTCGTACCTCAGACTCCTGGAGTGGACCAGCTACTACCGGCCTGAGGAGAGACACATGGAACGAGGGGTTAATACGGTAATTAATAGGAAGTTGTAACCTATAACAAACCTTGTTCAATCTCCTCAGGACTTTAAATGGCCCCACTAACCGCCGACCCAGCTTCCGGCAGGGCAGGCGAAGGGGCAGGTTTCAGGTCGAGAGCCAGACCCGATCTCCTGGTGCTTACACCGGAGCCTCACTGCGGTGGCGATCAGCGCTTGCTTTTTGTCGCCTGATAGCCCGGTGCAGGTGTGAATGCGCAGCGTTCCAGGTCTCTTCCGAGCGCCGAAACCACTCGTCCACAGCAGGAGCTTCGATCTGGCTCTGATGCCAAGGTGCCAGGACCGGCTGATAACCTAACACACACTGAAAAGGCGTAAGGTTAGTTGAGGAGTGGCGAAGTGAGTTTTGGGCTATCTCTGCCCAGGGGATATATCCCGACCACTCCCCCTGCTGGTCCTGGCAATAGGACCTCAGAAACCTACCCACATCCTGGTTCACTCTCTCCACCTGCCCATTACTCTCGGGGTGAAAACCTGAGGTAAGGCTAATCGAGACCCGCAGACGTTCCATGAACGCCCTCCAGACTCTAGA